AATAAAGGAATTAATGAAGAATATATTTTAAAAGAAAATCGTTTCAGATACAAGACAAGTACATTTTTGCCAGTGTTTCTACAAGAACATCTACATGTAGTAGTTGTTACTTTGTCAGACAAGTTCAAGCTTCAAACCATTGCAGGGCTCGAAATAACGGCCAAACATATGAAGGACAATATGTCCTTTGACTGGCCGTTATTTCGAGCCCAGCATTAGTGATTTTGTGGAGAGTATTATAAGAACTACCACCTTTATCAATGTTACAAGTAGCATTCAATATACTCCTCATGGCTACATTTTGTATTAATTTTTGTTTCTATCATTGTTGCTACTGTTGTTTGAATCATCCTCTTTTAGTGCCATGATATGTTTGTAAAAACAATACAAATGTATTTGTTAAAGGGACACAATGGATGACATGCGCAGTAACAGTCTCACCTCTAACGGACTTTGAAAGTATAACCTTTGAGGTAAATCATTTTGTGGTGCTTTTGACACACTTTGGAATATTCTAGATCTGTTTACGTTTACGATCTGATTTATGTTGTGCCAACTTGGAGTCATAAACTTGAAAACACTAGCCTAATGTTTTCAAGTTTACTCGCGCATGCCTGCCATTGACAGTGTCCCTTTAATTTTTTTTTCATGCATAATTTTATATATATAATATCATATGCACTAGATACACAACTGTAAAACTGTTTTCTTTAACTATGGGTTKAAGTCAGAAGAGAGTTTTTATTCATGTGCATGGACATGCAGCCCCAACACAGGSGAACCACTGATTGCTGTTGCAGGAAACAAAGCTGTTATAAGATTTATTAGGTAAGTTATGATTAAATAATTATATTCTTTTGGGCATATAGTTTGAATACGAAAAGGATTACGAGAAGATTTATCATTTTTTTACTACATGTATATTTCGGCCTTTATCCAAAGGCCATCGACTGCAAACTGAACTTACATGAATAATTATTAGTTCAAATCTGGCCATGAAACTGTTAAGCTAGAAAACGCTACTATTTTAGCGTCAAAATTTAGAACATATAAACATAGGAGAATCGCCAAAGCGCTTTATATAAAAGAACAAAAACCATCTTTGAATGAACAGGGACAGTCAATTCCCTTAAGTCTTTTGAACTAATAATTATTCATGTAAGTTCAGTTTGCAGTCGATGGCCTTTCATTGGATAAAGGCCGAAATATACATGTAGTAAAAAATGATAAATCTTCTCGTAATCCTTTTCGTAAGTTATAATCAGTTCAACAAAGAATGATTATATTACTTCTTATTGTATTGAGTATCAGATATAATACAATCCAATATATTTTTTTATCATTGCTAAATTATGTATTATATTGATTTATCCACAGTCCTATAAGTATGAAGTGTATAAAGGTATT